AGCATCTCAGAATAATGTTTAATAGATATTCCCTCAAAGGTGGGAGAAGTAGCAAAGTGGTAAGTAAGGTAAAGTCTATGGAAAGGCGGCTTCAGTGATAGGCTCAGGCTGATAAGGCCCACGCCAATTTCACCATTGGTGGACCCAAGTTTTGACAAACCTGGGAGAAATCATCAGAGACTTTTTAATTATTAAAGAGAAACAAATTGTAGTCCAGAAGCTGAAGCAAATTCCCAATATTGTGTACAAACTCTGCCAAGCGCCCAGCACATAGGAAGATGGACAGAGAAGGTAGACATGGATGTGGGGTCTGAGAAAGGAGAGAAAGCAGAACTTCCTCAAGTAGCTGGATCTTGCAGATATTATTCTCTTGCTTATTTGATTCTCCTCATTTTAGCCCCAGGACAGTTAGTGGTCAGGAAAGTAAACAGTCTTTGCAACAGCATCTCAAACTGTGCTACTTCATCCTTTAAATCACATACTCTGAGCAAAGGGCCCTGATTCAGTGCTTTTTCAGAGCCTGTACTTGATTCCCGGAATCAAAGGAGATTAAACAATAGTGATTGTTTAATTATACTCCAAGTATAATGGGGTAAACTGGTCTGGTCTCCTTTTTCACTTGTAAATAAAGAATTCCCCTAGGATGTCTCATATTATTGCCTACCTGCTGAAGAGCATGAAAACAAGTTATTTTTCTGTTGCTGATGACATAAATGACCTTACAAAGTAATGAACATGTTGGTCAATCAGTATCCAAACTAACAGCAAAAAATAATGAAATTAACTGAAGTTGAAAAAAAAAAAATAACAAAATATTCACCACACTCAAATCAGAGATTACTGGTTTCATCATTTCTTGTTTTTAAAATGTACAATTCTAGACAGGGCTGGTTTTCAGCCAGGAGGTAAAAGAACAATTAATTTTATTAAGATAAAGAAAAGCTTCTATTCATAGTCACAAACAACTAAGTACTCTAGCTCCCCAAATACCAACTACATTCCTGTCATCCTGGTTCCTCATCACCGGAACACCCGCCCTCAAGCAAATTCAAGTGATGACTTCATAGCAATAGGTTCTCCAGAGCTCACCTTCAGTAATATAACTAACATCTGTCCCTATTGTTTTGGGCCCTTACCATATTAGTTATTAAGTATTTTTACAATTACCCCTGATGCCAGTTCCTCCCTTTACCTAGTGTGTTAATTTATCAAACCTCTTGAGCATATACTTGGCAGTTGGCAAATTCATTCTACTAAAGTTACACTTATATTCTTGTGGCTAATTCAGTTGATTGATAAAATTTACACTTTAATTTTCTAGTTAAATTATATATTTCACTCTGGGAATGCACAAGCATATATTTGTTCATGTATTTGAGGAAAATCAAAGATATTAGATTAGCTTTAACATAAGACAAATGCAGTTCTGCTGCCCTTCTCTGCAAAGAGGTAAGATGGTACAACATTTGAGTGGAAGGTTTATCATGATCATTAACTTTCATAATAGACACTAACTTTACCACCTGCAAGTCTGATATCTATATATGTACAGATTTCACTTCAATAATCAGAAATTTAAACATTATTGTGGATCTATTTTGGACTAGGCAAATGGCACTGTACGATATCCATGTTTAAAGCACATGGAGTACAATTTATACATGAGTTCCATTCAACTTCTGCCAAAACATGTTTAAAATGATCAATATTTCAGAAACTCTAAAAAATACATTGACGGGGCCTCCCTGGTGGCTCAAGGGGTTAAGCACTGCACTATGAAGCAATCCGAAGCCTCTGCAACACAAGTTTGATCCCTGGTCCTCCAGGGAGCAACCCACATGGCAAAGCAGACCTCTCCTGTCTCGCCCACTGCTCCCCTCAGTAGTGTACTTCAGTTAGTCCGCCTGTTCTGTTCTCCACTCTGTCTCTGGTGAGTCCTCTCACCCCCCACATCTCTGGCCTGTGCCCCCAGCTCTTGTATGCATAAATAAATAAATCTTTAAAAATAAATAAATAAATATATAAATAAATACATTGATAATCCATTTCTGTCAGATTCTCTAAAATCTATTTCATGATCTACATTAAAGTGTAGAAAATAACAGGGAAGGACTACTTTAATTTCACACTCTAATAATGCCTTCATTAAATTAGCTAATGTTACTTTAAAAATCAGTACAAGAATTCAATAAAATAGCTTTTTTTGCATCTTCCCTAAATTAATGAACCAGCATGTTACTCAGCCTCACTCCCAAGTTTCTATCTCCAACTTAGACCAGTCTGAGTCCATTTTTCTAGTCCCTTTGATATATTCACTGCTTAAAAGGCACCTGAAAATTCAATATGTTTAAAACCTAACAGATTATTTCCCCTGCAAATCTGGTTCTATTTCAGGCATTCTCTATACCTTAAGACTTATCCATCCAGAAGGGGCAAGTTCAAAACTTAGGAGTCATCTTTGACCCCTTACACTCCTTCTTTTTGATATTAAATTCATTCTCATGTTTTCCACACTATCATGGTCCTCTGCTTACACTCTGAAAACCATCTGCTTTCTGCACTGCAGTGATGTTTCTCAAATATAAACCTAACTATCTTTTCCCCTGCTTAGAAATCTTCAAAGATCCCTGTGCCTTAGAAAGCCCAACTTAACTGTTCTAGTTTGCATAGACCTCCATTACTTCCCAATACTATGTTCCTTCCCCCTTTTAATCCATAGGCTCCAGATACATTGCTGCATTGTATTTCAGTTCCTCAATACTCCCTCCTGCAGAGCCAGCCTTTGAACACACTGCTCCCTTTTGCATCCTGCCCCTTCTGCATCTTGTTAGAAGCTAATTCTGTCTGACTCAATAGGTGCAGCCTAGTCCCTGTCTGGAGCCTGAGACTCTGCATCTCTAAGAAGCCCTAACTGGTGCCAGTGCTGTCGGTCTGTGGACAACACTTTGAAACAAAGCGCATATAGACCTTGAGCTTATCTGCAAGACTTCAGCTCTAACATGACTTTACCAGGGAAGGCTTGCTGAAGCCCCATGCCTAGATCCTATTCTTTTGTTATATGCTTTTACAGAACTGAGTTCCTTTTCACATAATGATGTTCCCTCTTTGTAATTACTGACGAGTATAGGGATCCATAGCAATTTCTTCCACTACTGTGCTCTCCATAAGGACAGAGAACAATTTTGTTCACCACTGAGTCTCCCAGTCACTTATATAATGCTAAAGCCACAAATAGTTGAATGAATGAGCAAAGGAGAGATGTATTTATGTTATAAATTGTTGGTATTTGGTGCCAAAGTTTGAAGTTTTTCCCTACTGAAACAGAGACCTACTGTAAGTACGTAAACGTTTGTGGTAGGTAATATGTAAATATATAAATATTTCCTTTATTAAATGAGAGCCATATAAGCCATCATTTCCCTTTTATTGTCTTGTTTATGGAGAACTTTCTCAAGTTTATAATTATATATGTAATAATTAGTTTTCACAACTTTTAGTTTTAAATTATAATTTCACCTCTATTTTTCTATGCTTATGACCCTTGTTTTATCCTTATTTCTATCTGTCTTGTATAGTGATGCTTTATGCTAAGCTGGGTCAAATCCTTTTTGGAAGTAGTAGAAAAATAAAACTTACATTAAAAGTATAAATGAATATATATATATTTGGTACACTGGTAGTTATAAATTATAAATAATGACCAGAGACTCTGTAACTTGAATCATGACTACCTGACTTAACAGCAATATAGCTTTGGATATATTCCCATATTTTATTATTATTTTTATTGCTGTTAAGAGGCATAAAGAGTATAAAAAAATTCCCAGATTGTTTTGCCACTAAGTTTAGATTGTGAAATTAGTTTTTAACTCAGTCTAAAACTTTGAAAACATTATACAGTAGGCAGAAAATTGGGGTAGACATCATGAGAATCTACAAAGTCAGTTATTATTCTCAGGAAAGGCTTAGGGGCACTATAAAAATGGAAATTTGCTTCATATTAGTATAATATTAGAATATAATGCAATTAATTGATTTGAACAAAGTCATAAAGTTGTCAGTGTAAAAACACACACCTGTCAGCACAGAGCCCAGAACTAATTCCTAGTTCATAAGTTTTGATTTCTCAGTGATAGCATGATAACCAGCATTAAATATTTAGATATCAAAAGAGCATTTTAAATATTGAAAGTAAATTTCATAGCATAATAAATAAAGTCAGACAAATCACATGGAATATGCTTGTCCACAAACTGAAGATGCCATCAGAGGCTCATGTGATATACTACAACTGACTAGAAATGTCACCCTCAGGGAAGCTTCTATTACAAAAATTCAGTGTGTGCTATGGTCCCTATGTGTGAAAAGTACTTAAGCTTAACTGCAACTTAAAAGTTAATTGATAATCAATATAAAATGTAACATCAAGGGCAAAATTCAACTTCTAAATGAATATTTAGAGAGGTCTCATTATCTTCATCGAGGGGCCAGCTGAGTGCCATTGAAAATAAAAGAGACTTTGAGTACAAGGACAGCATTTTATCAAGGCCCCACATGAGGTTGTAAGTGGATCTATTTTAAACAGTCCATCATACATCCAAGAGAAGTTTAAAAGGATGAAAGGAAGTGAGGAAATATATTTTTCCAATCTATTAACAAATGTTAATTTAGTGGCAGTGCAGTCAGATTTGTGTACATTTTCATTTCAGTGAGACCGGATGACAAAGAAACGAGTTCTTTACCGTCACATCTCAAAGTAGACAAAAATTCTCTTAGGGTAGTAAGAAGTTTGTCTCACCTTTTATTTTTCACTTTTACATCTGTAATTCATGAATGTCTAAGAAGTTTGCAAAAGAGACTTTTTAGGACAGACAAAATATTGATCTTAGTCTGAAAGTGTCTCAAGCTCCAAACTTGGAATTAAAATTCAGAGTAATTTAGGCTCAGATAAAATAAGTAACAAAGGTCCTGTGAAATGAAATCAACTGAGTTTCACTTACCTCCAATCAATGCAGGACATGTCCAGAGGTGTACAGCTGAGTTGACCTGTCATCCTGTTCTTTCATTTTTCGGAAGAGTCTCTTGAACAAACATTTGGTGAGACAACCAGGACTTTCCTTTCATTTGGTGTTTTGAGATCTCCAAGTTGTGGAATGTATGGACCAGTTCTTTGAAAGTTCAAATCCACTCAAACATCTAGAAGAGACAAGTTTTCTCAAGTGTGGTGCATGTTGCTTTTCCACACACACACACACACACACACACATACACGCTGCAAATCAAAAGAATTCCATACAAAAGAAAATTTTCCTGTGGAAAGAGAAAATATATGGTTAATTTCTGGTTCAAAAAATGACATACCAAAAAAAAGGCATAATTGTGGAAAAATAAAATGCAACATTTTAAGGGCTGAAGTGTAAAAAAACCCTCTGTCATAAAGACATCCAAATATCTTTTGAACTATTTACACCATATGTGTCCCAATAAGGCTCCTTTCTGATTAAATAATGACAAGTAAGTGAAACGAAAGATGACTTCAAAGACCCTTGAATCTTTACACAGCTTTTTGTAATTTTGCAAGTGTGAAATTTAGCTATCATTATACAAATGTTCTAAAGCGTAATTTTCTTGTGCTGTGAAATATGTCTAGGAACAAGATGCTGTGTCCATAGTAAGCACTCAGAAAAAAGTATGAACAAATAATAACAAATGAACAGTGAGGAAACCAATTCTTAGAAATCTTTCCTCAATTCCCTAAATCTTTCCTAAATTCTGAGCAACTATTTTATGACATGAAAACAATAATTATGAACCCACCTCTTAAGCAAAATTAGTTAAGGGAGCTAACAGGAGTCAAACAATAAAATTGTGGTCAAAGACATGAGGAACACACAGAGGGAAAATTGTACAGTCATTAAAATTCTGAGTGGCAGACTACTAAAAATGGAGCTACCATATGACCCAGCAATTCCACTCCTAGGTATCTACCCAAAGGACACAAAAGCATTAATTCAAAAGGATACCTGTACCCCTATATTTATTGCAGCACTATTTATAATAGATAGACTTGGAAACAACCCAAATGCCCAAAAACAGATGACTGGATCAAGATGCGATATATATACACAATGGAATACTCTTCAGCAATCAAAAAAGATAAACTAGGGCCTCCCTGGTGGCCCAGGGGATTGAGATGCAACCTATGAAGCAATCCGCAGCCACCATAGCACCAGTTCGATACCCAGCCAGCCAGGGAGGTGACCCACATGGCGCAGCAGACCTCTCCTGGACTTGCCCGCTGCTCCCCTCAGCAGTGTACTTCAGTCAGTCTGCCTGTTCTGTTCCTCACTCTGTCTCTGGTGAATCCTCTCACCCACCATGCCTCTGGCCTGTACCCTAGCTCTTATATGCATAAATAAATAAATCTTTAAAAAAAGATAAACTAATGCCATTTGCAGCAACATGGATGGAGCTAGAAGGGGTGATGCCCAGTGAAAGAAGTCAGAAGAAAAAAACAAAAATATCAGATGGTTTCACTTATAGGAGGAATATAGGGGGGAAAATAAGAGATCGGGGAAAAAATAGCAATAAAAAGCAACAAAACAAAACAAAAATAAATAGACAACTATAAATCAGAGACATTCTGCAGGGAAGGGTAGGGAGGGAGGGAGAGGAATCAAAACAAGGGAAGGAAGAGCATAAGGGACTGTGGTGATGGTGCACGGGTGTATCGGTGGTAGAAATTCTATGGGGGGAAATTCTATGGGGACTACACTTGAGAAAAGAAAGCAAACATTGTACAAAAAAATGAACAATGATACAATAAATAAAGAATAAATTTCTGAGTGGCTTAGAGTGGTGTGGGAAGACATTTATAATTAAATTTTAAGTGTAAAAAAGCAGGAAAAATACTACATGCACAGTAAAAGATGTTTTCATATTCCTAGAAAACAAGACTGGATTAAAATGTGCAAAAATCTTCAGCAGTGGCTCTCTCTAGGTAATGTCAATATTACAAATATTTGATTTTGAGGAAAACGCCCTTCATTGGGCATAGACAAATTTTAAATTCAGATTTAAAAGATGCTTTTGAATGGTAAATAAGAGTACTATCATGTTATAATGCCTTTGAGAATTTAAAATGCGGCTGCTTAGGGCCTCCCTGGTGGTGCAAGGGGTTAAGATGCAATCTATAAAGCTATCCGCAGCTTCTGCAGCATGAGTTTGATCCCCGGGCCTGCCAGGGAGCTACCCACATGGCACAGCAGATCTCTCCTGACTCTCCCGCTGCTCCCCTCAGCAGTGTATTTCTGTCAGTCTGCCTGTTCTGTTCCCCATTTCTGGCCTGTTCCCCAGCTCTTATATGCATAAATAAATCTTAAAAAAAATAAAATGTGGCAGTTTGTACAGTGTTTTACAAAACCCATGGGCTGTCTGTGGATTCAACTTCTCCATCCTTAGACCTTCCAGAGAGCTGAGAGTGGCACTGGCAAATAACTAGAAGAGAGTGTGATTGCCCAAACAGGAGGGGCTCACCAAAGGAACTTCACCATTGTTGAAATAAACTGAGGGGATCAAGTACAAAACCCCAAGGACAATTTAAATATACCATACACTTGAGTTTCTCTCCATAATAATATCCAAAGACAGTCATTCAGATACTTCACTCTAATTTATAAGAATGTAACAAACAGCCCAACCCTTGGTATCATAGATTATAAGGAATTGATGGGAGCTTCAAGGGCCATCTGGCATGGCAGTTGATCTGATACTTGCCATCCTGGGGTCAGCATGGCTGTCAAACAAATGCCTGGGTTTAGACAACCTTCTAGAAACATGCTACCTTCTATGGTAAATTTGACAGCTGGAATGTATTTTCTTCCTCAGTATCTTTAGGACACCAACTACTCTAGCTTAATTTAAAAGAGAGAGAGAGAGAGAGAGCATATTAGTCTGGATTCTTTTGGTTTCAAAGAGAGGAAAAATTAAAATGGATTTTACCAAAAAACAACACAGACACACATATACACAAGTCCAGAGGTAAAGCTGGTTCAGGTGCAAATGGATCCAGGACCTCACATGTTAAAACCAGGATTCAAATGCACACTATGCCTTGCCTCTGCCTCTTTTTGTTTTGGCTCCATCCTCTGGCAATCCAGCTCTTTAACTGTGGTGACATGATGACTTCAGCAGCTCCCAGGCTCAAATCCTCACTGTAAGCAGTCCTCTTAAAGCACAGACAAACATCCTCAGCATTCTATCCCTAACAGTTTTCTTAAAAATAAAATTCTGGACCTAACCATTATTGTCCGGAATTGAGCTTTGTAACCTGCTTGAGCCAGTCCCTGTAGTCAAAGGTATGAAACTCATTGATTGATTCCTTTAGGCCATATTCACACTCAAAGAACTAAGAACAGGGTCAGCCCCAGGAAAAATACATGAAATGAGAAACAGAAGGCTGGGTTGTCCTAAATTAATATCATGGAAGAACAAAGCAGACATGTTAGATGGATGGGTAGGTGAGTAGAAAAGTACATACATACATACATACATACATACATACATGATTGATAGGTAGACAGATACAGTCAATCACTTATTATAAAGGCAATTCCTTTGCAGCTATATTCTCCAAAGTCTTGATGGGGAGGGGGTAAAAGAAAGGATTGCACATGAAAATGCAGGAAAGAATTGTTCTATGTCAGCATCATAGGGCTTTACAGGTTTTAAAGGAAACAGAAAAATGAGCATAGTGGTGAACCATTTCACAAATATTATGGTGATATTAGCAAACAATGAAACAAAATCAAAGATAAATTTTATGATGACCCATGCCATCTGCTGCCTGGCATGGTCTAATATGAAACTGAAAATTCTGTCACCAAACACCACATGCCTTCAGCCTTTCAACAAAAAAGCAGCATCCAGTTATTCAAGGTGTTGGACACAAAATGACTAGTCAGAAATTTGCTTGCTTGAGTGACTATCTCTGATAATCCCACACAGCTTGTGGTAGGAGTGAATGTGTTAGGAGCAGTTAAGTGAATTTAAGAAGTGCAGCATGGAGTGAAAGATAAGTACAACCATGTTTCATGATGACTAAGCCAGAACTTCTGCTGGAAGATGTTTCAGGAAACTGTGAAATAATAACTGAGGGGGGAAAATCCTCAGAATGATGGCTAAAATCTAAGTATAATGCTGTGTGAACACACTAAAGCACATGCATATTCATGTACCCAGAAAGTCCTGAAATTTTCCTTTTAAGTTCCTAATTGCCTATCAGGAAAAAAAAAGTAAGATACAGAAACATTTAAGAGAAAACATAAAGATGATGTGTCCCAGGCAGGAAAATAAGTGAAAGATATGTTTGAAGAGAAAAATCATTCTTTTGACGCATAGGATTAAAGCAACTAAGACAAAGATGATCCTGGGCAAAGCTCTTTTATCCTCTCAACTACTATTTATTGAGCAGTTGCTATAAGCTAGTCATCCTGCTCCAGCCTCCTATGAATACCCCAGTCAGATAGGGTATCAGTTAAAAAAGAATGTATGATGTAGAGAGGCTGTGTCTAGACTCAAGTGTGATAAGACTTTCATGGAGAAGTATTATTTAAATAGAACTATGAGGGCCTCCCCTGGTGGCGCAGCGGTTGAGCGCTGGGCTGTGAAGCTGCCCGCAGCCTCTGCAGCACTAGTTTGATCCCTGGCCACTGGCGAGGGTCCCACATGGCGTGACAGAACTCTCCCACCGCGCCCGCTGCTCCCCTCAGCAATGTATTTCGTCTGTCTGCCTGTTCTGTTCCCCGCTCTGGCTCTGGTGAATTCTCTCACCCTCCTGTGCTTCTGACTGTACCCAGTGCTTGTATAAATAAATAAATAAATCTTTAAAAAAATAATAAATTCAAAAAAAATAGGACTATGAAAAGTGAGTATAAGATATTTAGGCAAACAGTAAGGTAAAGACAAAGGGACTGCTTTGTTCAGGAATATCCTGAGGCAGGCAGAAGAGAAGAACTTTCTAAGAGAGTAAAGATGGTGTGGGTTGTGTCTAACAAGGAAAGAGACAAGTGCTACAAGAGTAGAGAGAGTAGTTTGTCTCTAGATCACACGGAGCTTCATAAAGGATGTTAGTCTTCGTCTCAGGAGCAGTGAAAAGCCACCAAATGGTTTTGAGCAGAGTCGAGTCAGAAGATGTG